TGGAGAATTATGGAAACTATGCAATCTTAGAAACCACAAATCCATACTGGGGCACCAGATCAGCATATACTTGTACACTTGGAAGTAATCCCAACTTTATAGAAGGTGAAAGCAACTATATTTTGAACCAGAGGGCAGTTCATTAAGGTTACACCAGTTCAGGGGGAAAATTTCTTCTTGAGCTTGTTTGCTCCAATCAATGAATTACTCATGCAACTTAAACTGTTAGGAAGTTGCACTATAACAACTCAAATGACAAAGTTTTTTTAAACTGTACTCTCCAATCCAGAAACACAACTACTTTGTTCTTTAAGTTACAAACATGTTCAGTCATTTTAAGTCAAACTTGCAAGAATTTATGAAGCAGGGGATGTGAGATCTGGATATATTTAGCATCAAATTATTAAATCTACAATATTGGGTATGTTTTAACAGGTCTGTCAACCATGCCCTAATCCATCAAACAGTGCATTGGTCTATCCCAAAACTCAATTTCTCAACTAAGATATCATGTGGCACTTTGTCAAAGGTCTTGCTGAAATCCAGGTAAACCACATCTACTTCCTCCCCTCCATGAAGCAACCTTGAGACCTTGTCATAGAACTCCACAAGCTTCATCTGGCAGGAGATGCTTTTACAGAATCTGTGCTGTGTGGCTACCAGCCTCCCACCCCATCTAGGGATTCTAGAGCTTTTCCTATTATGAGCCTTTCCACTGTCTTTCCCAAAATGGACATAAGGTTAACTGGCCTGTAATTCATCATAATTCTAACTGGTGTGTAATTCACCCTAATTCTCTGCTACCTTTTTTGAAAATTGGAACCACTGATGCCACCCTCCCATCCTCTGGAATGTCTCCCATTTTCCACAAGGCCTCAAAAATGTAGGCTAGTGCATGCAAGAGCACCCCTAATAATTACCAAAGTACACTTGGGTGTAGCCCTTCTTGGCCCTGAAGAGCTCCTCAGCTTCTAGGGAGATGACTTCAATCAGTGCCTCCATAACCCCAGGCAGAACTCGCCCAACCAGCTTTGGAGATAATACAGAAGAAAATAATCATTTGACATCTGTGCCTGTTTCCTTACATCAGTTACCAAATCCCCTCCCTCTGTTTTAAACCTGTCTCCCCTTCCTCTTCTTATTTACATAAAGGTAACTAGTAGCAGAACCAGTTCTACTCAAGCATTTTATAACCATAATACCCAAGATGCCCCAGAATTGGGTAAAGTGTCAAAACACTGAGATTCTAGAAGATGCAATTCGCTTAATGAAGATCAACATGTCTGTAGAAGAATCTGCCAACTGGGACCTGTGAATGAAGACATGGTCAGAGGGCAGGACACAGAGAGGTCCTGATGACCAGATACTCTGCTAGGTGATGGGGACTGCAAGAAATGGCCCAAGGGGAGGGCAATCCAGCCCAAGTAAAGAGGTAAGCTCATGCAAATATCAAGGCCTGGCAGGAGGAACTGGGTGAGCAATAGCCCCATTGACACCCTCAGCCAGACCAGGGGAAAACTAATGAGGTGGGAGCTCAGCCAGTGTTATGTGGCAAGAAAGAAAGGACACTTCAAGCAAGACTGCACCTTTATGGAATGTGCCTATGTGGACACATGGCTATCTGCTCAGTTAGCTTCTATGTCTCAATGGGTATGGTGAATGCAGGCCTGGTGGATGGTCAGGAGGTTGGGGGATTAGTGGACACTGGGTATGTTTGCACCTTAGTAAAACAAGCAGGGGACAGCCCCTTAGAAGAAGTCTTGCAGGTGCATGGGGTTGCTGCTACCTTCCAAATGCTGATGGATCAGATGCTGGGCCACCTAACATATTGCTCCACAGCCTACATAGATGATATATGAATTTTTAGTCAGACATGGGAGGAACATCTTCAACACCTGCAGCAAGTTCAAGAAGTCCTGAGGAAGGCAGGGCTAATCCCAAGAAATGCAGGGTAACTAGGCAAGAGGTTCAATATTTGGAGTATATATGTGGGAAAGGCACTATAGACACTATATGACCTGTGCCAGAAAAGGTAGACACCTGTGCCAGAAAAGCACCTGGCCAAGGCCACAGACCAAGTAGTTCTGAGGGCTAGCCAACTATTAGCACATATTTATACCCCATTTCTCCTCTAGAACCTCACCCCTAACAGACCTGACCAAGAAAAGGCAACCTGTCAAGTGACATGGCCTCAGGAAATAGAGAGAGCTTTCGAAGATCCGAAGGCTTGCTTGCCACCTGCCCTGAGGTCTCCCAACTTTTCCCATCCCTTCATTCTACAGACTGAAACTTCCAATGTGGGGTTAGGAGCAGTCCTGGACCAAGGGAAGGGACCCTGGAGCATTCCATACTTTATCTGAATCCAAGGGAGCAGAAATATTTTATTATAGAAAGGGAGGCCCAAGCAGTCAAATGGGCCACAGGAACTTTCCACCACTACTTATGGGGCATCCCATTTGTACTTGTCACTGACCATGCCCCCCTGCAGTGGTTGAGACACATGCAGAAGATAGCACCCATTTAATGAGATGGTACTTGTCTTTACAACCCTATGCCTTCACAATTAGACACTGTCACGGGAATCAACTTGCTAATGTACTTTTTTTCTCACCAAAGTCGCTAGTCATGGTGCGGAGATGGTGACCCTGCTTAGACTGGGGAATATGTGAAGGGTCGGCAAGACTCACCACCTCTCAACCAATGTCCAGTGAGTTGATCAAGAGGGCAGGCACTGTGCTGGCAGCACAACTGGCTCCTTCCTGGGGCTGTTGCAAGAGCAAAGACATCTGGCGGAAGAAATGTTCCTGGGAAGAGAAGTCATGGACTGAGGTATATGCTCAGTTCTCTACTCAGCCCAGAGTAAGCAACACCTGTGCTGGCTGGCAGCAGCAGTGTTGGGGAAGTGGGATATATGAAGGAACAGGGAAGGGAATGAGGGAGAGAAAGCCTTGAAGCTGCAGTGACGGTGGCATTGGCAGTAGTGCAAATGTTGATGTGGAGGAAAATGGTGGAGGCTAGGAAGGTATGGTGACTAAGCTTTGAGGCAGACCAGGAACCAGCACACATGCTTCTTGGGGAAAGGAAGGGGGGACTATTTCCACCCTATCCAAGACAGACCCCTCCTGGTCACCCATCTCAACTTAGCTGGGGAAGCATGAGTCAGGTCAGTGGGCTGCTGGGCCTGTCCAGATCCAGGATCTAGAATCCAGAAATGGCCAAACATACTTATACTTTTTAATAACAAAGAGTAAAAATAAGACAGGGCAATTACAATCTGGTAATTGTTTGAAATATATATATTTTTTAATCTTAGCAAACAAATAAGGATCCAGTGCATTTGTTTTTAAATGTAAGTGGTTTCTATGCATTATTTCTGTATTTAATCAGGGGCCTTTTTGTTGAATTTCTGGCAGTTGGTAGATTTTTTTGGATCAATAAAATTTGAATAAAAGTTCATATGTATCTCCCGAATCATCTATCTTCTTTCTAGGTCCTTTCTAGGCCTAAACTCAGAAATAAATTACTGTCAGATTTAGTTGCTATGTATGTTACCTGAGTTATGCAGATTTAATGAGTTGATTTCATGCATATTGTCATGTGTAACTTAGTTTTAATGAACTAATGGATCAATTAGCCACCCATGCTAATAATTTTCTACACAGGCTACCATGAAGTCTAAAAATAAGTATTTGTTATGAATACTATATATAAAATTACCTCTGTATTTTATCTAATTTTGTTTTACAACAGCAAACTAAGCAACTGAAGGTCAAACTAAACTTTCTGCTTATTACACTTAGTGGAGCTATGCATGATTAGCTTACTTATTCAAGTGCAAGCATATGTGACCCTAATTCAGATAAAGACTGTGGCAGTTCTGAAGGGAGAATTTAAACTTCCCACATTTCATTTCTATCCTGAAATTCTGCATACACACACACAGGTGGAAATTTAAAAATAAGAACAAACAACTCATATACTTATTGGAATCAGTATACAAAATTAGCAGGATATTTAGCTTGGTCTTGAGTGGCTTCATGCTGAACTTGGCATGAGGTTAAAAAAAAAGCTGCACAAGTTTGGATTAGACATGCTTCTAGTCCATAACTCTAGCATCCATTTACAGTGACACCATGATAGAACAAAATAAATTATGTATGTGGGAGCAGAAATCTTGAACTTTGGAGGATAATGCACTAGATTCATCTCTGAAACTATGTATGATAAAACTGGTGCAAATTGTTAGTTATTTCTGGATTGACTGAAGCTTCCTCTCTTTGCCTCTGAATAATTTGCAAAATAGCTATAAAGCAGTTGCTCTCAAAATGCTGTCCAGGATGCGCTATTATTTATGATTTATCCTGCCTACCTCCAAGCAATGCAAATCTGCATACTCTGGCTTATGCCATTTTATTCTTATATTAACCATGCAAGATCGTTTCATTGGGTAGAAAATGATTTCTCCAAGGCACTTCAATGAACCCTATGGTTCATTTTCAGAGCTAACAGTATATTTACTATTCGACTTAGTTCTGCTGCATGGATGGGCAACTTATGCCCTTCCAGATGTTTGTCCTACAAGTGCCTAGAGAGCAGAACTAATAATGAAGGATAGTTTATAGGCAAGATTATGGGCCAAAATACTGAGAATGCCACAAGTTGTTCATCCCTGGTCTATGGGGTTGTTGCTAATACATGAATCACTGAAGTACCAAAACTAGGTGATGAGGAAAATTCAACATAAGAAGTTGAAAATCTTCATATCTGTGCCTTGGCTTAGAATCAACAAGTGGTTTCCAAATTCTGTTAGTGGGTCATTTGGCATTAAAAGATTGTAACAGATTGTAAGTCTTGGCTTCTCTCTCCTAAGTTTATGTCTTCACAGAACATACTTGGCAGACATGCTACTCAAATGGTTGCATGCCTTAACACACTGTAATAATATCATCAATAGGAGTGAAAATGTATATTTCAGTAACATTTATTTATTTATAACTAACCTGGAACAGGCTGGGGTGTTAATGCCATTGCAGGAAGAGGCCTGAGTACATTAGCTGGTCTAGATAAAGCCACAGCTATTTGATTTGTTGTAACAAGAGGTTTTTCATGTCCCTGGTAGATTTGTAGTTCCTCAGGATGCATCCAAACTGAATCCAGAGCAAATGCATTGTTTAAATAGATCTGTCCAGAATAGGAGAAATGGGGAGAAAAAAAATTCTTTGTTTGAATTCATGTTATAATTCAAATGACTGCTATGGCTTCTTAGTCTCTTTAATATTCAATAGAACTCCTAATTATGAAACTGCTCTTGGCTGTCTGAAAAGTTTCTAATTATTTGAATTTTCTGTGTTTCCTCTGATCTGATGCCAGTTCAACCCTTGTAAATAAACATGTGTCACAACATTGAACAGATGTCTTTTAAAACATTGAACAGAAAACTATTGCACTAGTAAAGAAAAAGAAATAATACCGAGATACTGTTTTCAGTGGGTATAATTTATTAAGCATGTGTAACTCCAACTGATTTAAGTAGGCCGGGTTTATGTATGAGGAACCAGAGGCAATTATTTACCTCATTTGACTGTATTGCTTCCTTTATGTTGAATTATTCAACTATTTTGCATTGAGGGCTAGTAAATAGTACCTTTACCAACGTGGTACTGTACAGATGTATTAAAATACAATTTGCAGTATACCTCACCAAGCCTTGGGGAAGAAAATATTATGGGATACATTCTGAATTCGAATTAGGGTAAAGAATTTTACCCTAATCTTTCTATTGGATAATAATCATAAGGGGGTTGATAAAGAGAGAACAATGAAAAGAATGGTTTCTATGAGGGCTGTCATCCAGTTAAAGAATATTTAATTGATTATTAACCTTGTTCATTCATTAATCAATTAGTGAGTTGAGTCTGCATCCTGGTAAAAACTTTGGGTACAATCCAGAATTAGTCATACTTAAAGTAGACCCATTACAATTAATAGGACTTACGTTAGTTATGATTAATTCAAGACCCATTCAATTCAGTGGTATCTTCTATGTATATGGATCCTTTACTTTTGATTATATAGAAACACACAGTAGTGTTTCTCATCTGGGCATGAAAGAAAAAGGGATACCCATTTGACTGTGCAGGGTGGGTTAACTGTCATCCCTAGATCATATTCTGTTCTGTAATTTCCACATAAACAATCCTACTTACTTGTCCTTCTATTTATTTTTATTTATCTATCTTAATATTTATATATCTTCCCGTTCCCATACACTCTTCTGGGACATTGTCACAGCTTGGTCTAAATTTTAGACTCTAAAATTTCTCCAAATTCCAGCCTTTTATGGATTTTTTTCCTATATACCAAAACATGTCCAAGAAAGTTAAGTACCACAGAATCCTCAGAAAAGTAATTCTATGGGGTACCTTTCTACTCCAAACAGTAAGCCCTAAGTAAAGGAAGAAAAGAAGGTTCGATACAGATCCTTCTAGCAAAAAGAATTAAAATCAATTGAGGGAAAATTTGGCTATGATCTTTTCAATTAATAAGCCAAACTATTGTTCTGCAGAGAAAATGTCAATCAGCAAAGGATTGTTACACCAATTTCCTTGTTTTACATAGACTCAGGAAGGATTAAACTTTAAATTACCTGAACTTGGTGATAACTGGAAGCCTGACTGGAAATTCCATGGGAATTTTTTCTCTTGCCTGAGGAACTTTGGGGTCAAAAATAGCCCCAAAATTTAAGAGAATTAAGAAAGAGAATTAAGAAGTTGCTTGTTTCTACAGATTAGAAATATTGGGCTAGATCTGCAGGAGGTCACTTACCCTTAAATCCATTGGGCATGTTAGTTATGCTCAACTGAAGTTCCACTAATTTTAATGGAAGTAACACATAGTTTGCTTCTCCTTAGCCCATCCATTTTTTTCTTCCTCGGGTGAGGAAACCCATTAAAAAATCTGTTCCCAATGTAATCAAGGGATCTTTTTTCAGTGTTAGAATCACTGTTGGAATAATATATTATTGCAAGCATAGGTTTTACATTATTTTATAATTACTATATTTATAGTAATTTGATGTTCTACCAGAGAAGAAAATACTTTACTCTTTCTTGAAAATACTTTACTTCATAGAAATAAATAGGTGTGGTGGGAGGGAATAGCTGGGCAAAAACTATATCAAAATAGGTTGGCAATAAGACTTCAACCCAAATTGCTAGGCTTCCATGTGCTGTGATTGCTTCTGGAATGTAAATTACTAATCTCAAAGTGTTTCCAGCAGACATTCCTGAGGATCTTGCATCTGTCCTGCTTGAGGGATCTTGTAGGCAGCTGATTTGCCACCATGTATATGGAGTGCTGCTTTGGTCTGATCCACCATTGTTGTTCTGATATTCTTATGAGAGAAGCAGAAGGTCCTCCCAGTTACTCATGACTGATTTTTTGCGAGTCTTTAGGAAAGCACTGCAGAGCTTTTTTTCTATTTTTTTTCCAGAATTTCCCGTAACTTTTGAATTGCTGGTTTTAAGTAACTTTTGTTTTTTATAATCTTTTAAAATCAGAAAACATTGTATTTCATGAATTTCTAATGAATATGTACTTTTTACTATTTTTTTTCACTCTTAAAAGTAGCTTCAAAACAATTGGAATGAATACATGTTATTTAATGTGTCCATCATAGTTTGATGGAATCAGTGAATACACTACGTTCATTCATGGCCTTATTCTCAATTCTTTAGATAACCTCCCCCTGCTTTTTTTTTTTTTTTTAATGCCTGTTTCAGTTCAGAGTCAACAGAGACTTTCATTTGACCATTCAAGTTCAACTCTGATATAGGGGAAAAAAGAAAAGGTGTATTCCAGCTTTTGGCTCACATTCAGTTTGACTTCCTCATGAGGAAGACCATTTTAAAATTTATTATAAGTAACCAACTGGTTTATGTGTAATGCAATTAATTGTTTAATTGAAGCTAACTTGAAACCTTAGTACTGAAAAATGGGATGCTAACATTATAGATTAACACGTAAGAGACCCTATGTTCAGGCAGATTACTATTGGTGAACCAGACTAAAGTTGCTTTAAATGTTTTGGTGTTATTACCTTCAAAGTCTTAAAAGGTAAGTTTTAAAAGGACTGAGGTAAATTTTAAACTTACCTTGCAATTTGGCATCCTCTTGTCTATCCAATTTTTCCCAGACTGAAGTGCAGCAGTAGTTGTGTACACATGAGGAAGAGGGACAAATTCCAAACTTGAAGATGGTGAAAATTCTAGGCCTGGAGCGTAAGCTCCAAACATCCACTAAAATAAAGTTTTAAAATTAAAAATATTCTATAAGAAATTACTCCGTATCACTCATTCCATTTTCCATTGTTCCATTTTTACTATATTGCATATTTGGAAGCGCATGCTATGTAATTATCAGGCATGCTTTTAAACACTTTCTTCAAAATATGAAAAAATGGTTACAACAATATATTGAATTTAAGGTAGATGGCCAATATATATGATGTGATGTGACTGCACAAAAACATCAATATAATATTCAATTTAGCAAGTACAGCAAGCCAATCTGAATCTAAATATTGTAAGCCATCCTGATTAAATATTATAAGCCATCCTGAGATTTTTGCATACAAAAGCTTTTAATAAATAAATCAGTGCAAATAGAAGCAAGTTTGCTTGGGGTTTCAGAAAACTGTTCTTCCTCAGTGGAATACCATATTTTGCCCTGAATTCTATTTTAAATGGAATCTAATCTAATGGAAACTGTATTCATGGATGAGCCATCTGACTTCTCCATTGCTTGCCTCCACCTTAGCTCATTTCCACTCTTTTCTGATTTACACAACACCTTTGCTTGAAGCTGTGGAACATCTGACAAAATTGTGAATATAGTCATGTCAAGACACAGGACTGTACTTGCATGACACCTTGAGATAGATCTGAGTGATGCTATAGATCATACCTTTACTGCAAAGGTTTATCAGTGGCTACCTTTCACGCTAAATGTATGTTTTCCTACACAGGGACATTCATCAATAAGTCTATTAAAAATCAATTCAATGTTGTTAAATGAATACAAGAAATTGACAAATAATGTAAATTCACTGTTACTTTAAAAAAATAATCCCAAGAAATACTGCTTATGAAGGCAACCTTCATCCATAAGGGATGTTACTTATCTTGGCAGTCTTTCAGATTAGGTATATTTGTGATAAAGAACTGTTACATTTCAACCCAACATCTTAATTCTCCAAATTAATACATTTCCATTCAGTGCTGGAATGTGGCCTTCACCTACCATTATGGCCCTTTTTTTTATATTACTAACAAGGGCCAGGATGTGTTTTTACCTATTTTATTGAAATTGTCCAACAAATTTAGAGCTGAGAAGTTTAGAGGAACAGTATTAAATCTGTGTCAGATGCATTAAACACCATAACTTTATAATTAGAATAGGCAATTAAATCTAATGTATGTATTAAAAATAACTAAGGCAAGTCTCCACAGATATTTTAAAATTTGTCTCCTCATCCTTATAAATAATAGAAAAAAATCATACAAATGGTGATGATGAGATGAGATGTATGGCTTAAATCAAGACCATTTGATGTCTGTTGGAGAACAGTGAAGAAGATTAGGGCAGAAGATCCTGAATTTAAGTCTATATATAAGCATTTCCTTTACATGTTTGGCTGACATTGTCACAGTAAATTCACAACAGTGGAGCAAGGGTTAGTCCTAATTAGCAGATTCATTAGCAGCTCCCTTATTTCTTTCACTATTAAAGTACACATTTTGCAGATTTCTAAATGCAAAGGGAACCAAGTTCCTAGACATTAAATACCTCTTGTGGCAACACCCTGACATAACAGTTGGGAATGAAGAAAATGTTGCAACACATCTTTTAAATCAACCCTATTCTACACCTTGAGAAAGCCTTATTGATCAAACATAAATATTACAAATGCAGCATCACACTTTGATGAAGACATCAGCTGGTACAATATTGTGGTGTTTGGAAGGGCAGGACAGCTTTGTCCTAAGATAGTAAAGAAACAATATTACTTGTAATATCAAAATAACCTTTGTGTAGTATATCTTTTATTATTTGTTAATAAAATAAAGCTTATTACAGTGCATCAAAACAGATGGAAGGTTATTTGTTGTGGAAAATAATATGAGATTAAAAATAGCCTTCTGATTGCTAGCCATTTGGTGAAATGAGATTTATCTGCAGTAGGCTGGGTCATGTAAGTCAGTTCTTTTAGGTGAGTTTCACATAGTAAACGCTTCTAAATTTGTTTGACTGTAAAATATATGGTCCTGCTCTTCATTCAAGTATTAGGATACCAGCAGGAACTATTAGTTCAGGAACAGAAGGGCATAGATTGTATTTCTAGTGTAGTCTCACTGAAGTCAGTTGATTTGCATTGCTGCAAATGAGTAGATAATAATCCTTAAATGACAGAAGAGTGGAATCCTGTTAAGGTGCCATTGTGTTCGGTGTGATGTTTTAAGTATGTGTACGTGTATTTCCAGCACAAAAGATGTGCTCTGTCTGTATGCTTTAGGAATGAAAAGAAACGAGTGCAGCATCAGCAACAGATTCGTATTAATAGTTAATGTGGTTTCCTCTCAGTCTTTCTCCCTCGCGTCGTCTTTAAAGTCTGGCGGAGACGCAACACAGCCCTGAACCTTAACGCAGACACACACGTCTGCGCCCAGCGAAAATCGCAAGCTAACTTCAGCACCACGGCACTACCGACAGCAACAGAAGTTGCTCCCCATCCCTTCCCGCGTATGCGTTTCCTAAGCACTGGACAGCCAAGGGAAGAATGTTCCTCCTCCTATCGTGGCTCTGACTGACTACGAAAAAGAACTAGAGCAGATAGAGGGGCCACGCATGGAGTGCTCATCAAAGAAACCAGAAAAGAAGCCGAAATAAAGACCGGGGGCAGGGAATGCTGTAGGAAGGGGAGTGGGAAGACTAAAAGGGAAGCAAAGGCTTTGCTTACTTGCCCATTCGGAAGAGATAGCTGATGAACTGCAGAATGGTGCTCCGGTGCCATCAAAGGCAGAAAAGGATTGCAGGGAAGTTGCCATCCTGACACCCCCTGGATCATTGGTGCAGGCGGCAGCTGCGGCCGAGCGTGTGGGGGCGAAGAAAGCAGCAGAGGAGGAGGGGGCACCACCCCTGCGGCGCCCCCAATCCGAAGAAGGCCAGCTGCACTCGGGAACATCCAAATCCACGGAGGCACTGGGGGCTCTGCATTCCCGGGCCACAGGAGGGGCTGCTGCCGCTTGGCTCTCAGCACCGGGAGCATTCTACATCTTACGGTGCGATCTCACTGCTCGCAGGGGGCGCCTCCGGCGAAGGCAAAGGATAGCCACACACCAGCCGGAGGATCGGATCCGAGAGATGGTGATGCCCATTAGTGCCCCCTCCCAGCTCTGGCAGGATGCTTAGGGCGGCGGCGGCAGCTCCTGAGCCAGCTAGGGCTCCACTTGGTTCTGTGGCGCCGCGAAGACGCTCCGCCTCTTCGCAGCCCCTCCTGCCTGGCCACATCCCTCGCCGCTGCCGCTGCTGTTCCAGGGAACCCAGGATTTAAAGGGAGGCGCAGTCTTGCTGCAATTGCTGGGGTGATAGGATCTTCCTAGCTTGCCTCCTTTCGTAAAGCAAGCAAGAAAAATGCATTCATCCAATGGGACAAACATAAGGGGACGAGATAACTTGATAGCCGAAGCGCGAAAAGAAGAGTGCCATCGGCGAGAGCAGAGAAAGGGAAGAATAAAGGGCAGTGAGAGAAACAGATGGAGGTCGGTAGGGAAGAAGAGAAAGCCACGAGGAAAGGATGAATGAAAGGAAGGCAGGAAAGCAAAGACAGAAGGGCAGAGAGTACGGATGATAAAGAGGGAAGCATTAGGTTCAGAAATGATCAAGAGAGGATCCTGTGAAGAGAAGCATAAAGAGGTTAAAGTGAATAGAGGCAAAAGAGATCAGAGCTTAATTTGAGCAAAACTCAACAAGGCCTGCAAAGTACATTTTCACTTTCTGCAGGCAGCTCCCACACTTCTGGAAGTTGGTCCAGCAAGTCTCAGAGTTCTATATTTTCTTCTTTAGAAATTAACCCTAAGAGCCAGAGGCACTGGGAAGCAGAATGCAGAAGGAAAAGATAGGTGGAAAGACAAAGCAGTCATTGCAAAGGGCGTAAGGGAAAGAAAAAAAGTAAATGTGGGAAAAGGAGAGAAGTTCAGATGGAAACAAGTGTGAGAAAGAAGACTAGGAATGTTCACTTTGAGATAACACTAGCAAACCTGTACAGACAATTCTTGAAGCAGCTCAAATACACAGAAGAAACAGGGGAATGCCAGAGAGTCTGAAACACTCATGCTGGCTATGGATGGTGTAAAGGACCCCATACCTTTTTCTTCCCATTGAGATGTTACATTCATCTCAAAATGCCTTGAGAACTGTTTTGTTAGTGGTGAAAGATAATATATAATCATGGAAAACAAATTAATGAAGGTGACCATACAACATCCTGTGGAGAAATTAATGAATGCCTTGTTCAGATGTATGAAGGGCTTTTGCTGCTGCCACTACTGCTCCTGAATATCCAGAACCATCTCCTGATTTCAGTGCAGCTGATGTCTAAATGAGTGCATCTTCATATTTCTATTTGAGCATACTTAAGAGGAAGATTCATCTTCATATGTGGCAAGAATGCTGCTCCTTTCCATCTTTTCTCCCTCTGACCTAAAAGAAGATTGATTGGCACCCTGCAGAGAAGCTACTCATCCATTTCAATAGGGCTAACTTCCACTGATGTCTGCTTAGGGATGCAGCCCACAGGCATGAGCAGCAGGAAATTCCCAAGCACAAGACTCAGAGAACTCAGTGGGAGCAAAACAACTGTACTTCCATTCATTTTGCTTGGGTTTGCACAGGAGGACTTCCTACTGCAGTGTTCCCAAAGGAAAGTCCTTTGTACATAGACACTGAAATTCCAAGAACAGCAATTGCTTTGGCATCAAAATGTGACTTAACTGCCCCATGTTCCTATAGATAGCACAATTGGCCTGTCTTCACCCCACTCCCATCCTAATGCATTAGTACATAAACTGTAGTATTGTCTGCTCTCTTGACTACAATATGTAATTCAAAACACCACCTTTAATAAGGTTAGGATTATATTTTGCACTGTATTAGCTTTATCATCTCTGATGTTTCACTTTGTAGTCTGCTTTGAATACCTCATCAAAACTTGTACTTCTCAATGTTTGCTCCCTTTCACCAAACTGTTCATTAATGCAGTTCCGAGAAATAGACTTTAGATCTGTTCCTGTTCTGCAATCTGTTCAACAAAGCGAGACAGTGGTATTAGCATGAATTGCACTTTGTGCTGAGTGTGGGTAAAACAAGTAGGAGGTCACGTGGGGATTGAGGGTAGGGGCAGGGTGAGCAAACTAAGTGCCCCATTCATGAGGGAGGATTTTGTCTAAGGACCAATTCTCCCTTTGTTTTCTTTCCAAATTAGTTCTGCATGCTTTATAGCTTTTCAGATACATATACTAAAAAGTACCTTGAACAGAACGGAAGTCTGGATAAAGCACAGCAGTTTCAAAACAGATATTGTTGGATTCCATTTTCCACCACCCGCACTCAGCGTGATGAGATTGTGGTCCAGAAACATCAGTGGAGGATTGAAGGTTGGGGACCATGGGATAGAAAGAGAATCTGTAACAGGTGTGCTACTAGGCAATAAAAATTTCAGGCACAAAAAACATCTATCCATAGAACTTACATGTGCTGATTTATATTTATCTACGCAAGTAAAAATTAATTACCAGGCTTTAGTTAAATTTCAGAAGAAACAAAGACAGCCAATTAATTTTTCATTCAAATTATCTCAACCAATTTTTTTCAATACATGTGCATCCTGCATCAGACCATCCCAAACCAATTCCCCTCCCCATAATAATTGCTATGCAGGGAGAGATAGTGGTGGTGGTGTGTGTATGTTGTAACAGGTAGAAGAAGGGCAAGTTAACCCTTCCCTCACAGCTGTAGTTCTCCTTGAAAATCACCTCCTCTATGGTAATTAAGCTGAGAAAGAATCCTTTCATTGTCACCAATGGACATGCAGGGCTCTGAGAGGAACCATCTGGACCTAGTCTCCATTAGCCCAAACCTGGCCTGCAGGCTGCCTTCAGTAAAAGGTTGCCCACATAGTAAGAGTTCAGTAGATCCTGTAGCTGGTATGGGATTAGTTTTCTCAGGTATGAGGACTAGAAGAATGCTGTCCCACAGCCCGTTATGTATGTCTGCTCTGAGGGCACATATTATGCACGCCTGAATATAAAGCACCTTTGTGCCACATCACTTATGAAGGATTCATTAATGTATGTGGGATTACTTGTAGTGATTTCCCCTTCAAAATGTACAGAAGTGGTTAACAGAAAAAGTGGAGAGTGCTACCAGAGGTGGCTGAATAAAGCAGATTGAATCTAGCAATTGAATTGATTTATGGAGTCATAAGCAGATAGTTCCCTGGTTAATCATTCAAAAATATTTAAAAGTCAGACCAAATCAGGCAATAAGTCTAAGAGAATGAAACTACTTCTACTACAGAACATAAGGAACATTCTAATCTTTCTATACAGAAAAAGCTGGATTCTAACTTTAGTTCCATCTGGCTGCTAAGCATCATCCAGCTTTTGTGACTCCTGTTTGCACCCAGGATGCTCTGATAAATTAACAGCTAATTAACAACTCTGAACCCTGCATAATCTTCCTTCTGTACAAATAACTGCTTTAAATGCACCAAGAACAAATTAAACCATATATTACATCTCTCCTTTATGTGATCCGCATCCATCAAGTATTCCAAAATATAACTCCTTCAACCGGTATTTTAAAAGGATTAAGTTAACAAAATACTAGTATATATTTCACTTGTGACTAGAGTGGGTCATGAAATATGCAATCAATACCACACTTGGATATCAATGGTTCACAAAAAAAAAAAACAAAACAAAAAAAAACTAAGCAGCCAAGCCAAAAAGGCAAATTGGAAATACTGGCTGATAGGATTGGCTGTTGATAAGTCAGGGCAAAAAAATGCAAGATTGAGAACAGATAAAAGGAAACAGGCAATACTAAAATGGGGCAGTGACCTCAACTGAGCAGCAGGTACTCCAGATCCAGAAGGATCTGGAGAGACCATGGAAGTGGGCAGGGGACAACAGAATGGCATTCAATGCAGATAAGTGCAAGGTCTTGTACTTGGGGCATAGGAATGGGTGTCATAAGTACAGGTTAGGGGACAAGTGGCTGGAGAGCAGCACTTGTGAAATGGATCTCAAATGCTCTATGTTCTATACATACTCTATGTTCCTAAGTGTGTGTGTATTCATGGGGAGCATAGTTAAATTATGAAATTTGCTACAACAAGATGTAACAATGTCCACTTATGTGGATGGCTACTTGGATGGCCTAATACATAGGAACTGGACAATTAGACAAACCAGTGAAGGATCTGCATGGATAACAAGGGCTACTAGTCATTATGGCTGTATATTACTTCCAACATCAGAGTCAGTGTGTCTCTCAAAAGGAGCTTCAAGAGAAGGTAGGTAGGTGCTATTGCTTCACATTCTGTTATGGCCTATCTGTAGGTCACTGTGGGAACAAAATACAGGGACAGATCCTAGGTACAGCTCTTCTTCTGTAGAACACAAGCAAGAATATTCATGCCACTGAGGTGATTCTCAAATATACAGTTTATTGTCAGTCAGGAATTCAATTAGACGTCAACCAGAAATAGACTAAGATTGTCTGCTATAGAACATGGAAAGCAGTTAATAAAATGGCATCACTGTGTATGGTGCTTTCATTTAAAAAATAAAAATAAACTTGTTATTGTCAGGAATGAGAAAGCTCACATTGGTTTTGCCTGTATACCAAAGCAGTCTGGGAATTCTGAGATGGGCTGTCCAGGTCTTAATCTTAATCTTGAAAGATAAAGGTTATTTACAATGAAAGCTAGCAGTCTGCATTATGGAATATTCTGTCAAAACAGAGCTACTCCCTCCATTTTTGCTGAGTAGCTTTTTTGTGATAATAGGTCCAGCTCTGTTTCCTTAAAGACAGGGTCATTCCTGTGATATTCCTCTTTTATTATGCCTCATTCATTCATTTATTATAAATAAATAAATATTTATTATTACCTGTGTGTGGGGTAAATATTTGTCCTTCAATATCAGGAATGTTTGTTATATGCACACTGTAAAGATGTACAACCTCCACAATGGTTGAGAAATT